AGAGGACCAGAACAGGTCTCAGAATCTGGAAAAACATCTAAGGATATTTCACCCAGGGCTCTGATGGGATCCTTAACCAATCAGTGGTTTATGGCCTTTCTTAAATATCTGTAGTCATTCCATCATCAGACAGCTCTGGCATTGTTAAGACAAACAACAGACAAAGTCTGTATTAGTCAGTATCATTCAGGACTCCCTTGGCCATAAGAAACATAAAACTGACACCCTGGTTGAATCAGACAAGGTAATTGAGTTGCTCGTTTCATGGAAATGTCCAGAAAATAGGCCTGGCTTCAGGCAAGGCTGGACATAGGGCGCAAATGATGCCATCCACTCTCTGTCTCTTGGCTCTGCTTCCCTTTGTGTTGGCTTCACTCTCAGGCAGACTTTGCCCCCTGCAAAGGCAAGACAGCCACCACCAGCTCTTGCTCGTGTCCCCTCAGCAACCCAGGCAGCAGAGAGCATCTCTCTCCTACTGGTTTTGTAGTCTCTCTCAGTAGCCCCGCTTGAGACAGGGCCGGTCCCCACACTAACCCCTGTGGTCAGGCGACAGAGTCCCCTGATAGGGCAGGCCTGGGGTGCAGAAACAACCTTGGAGCCAGAGGGTGGAGCAGGCTCACCCAAACCACTGAGAGTGGGGTGTACCCTAAAGCAGCATTCAGAGGCTAAGACCAGAAGAAGGGACAATGGTGCTGGGCTGTGAAAAACAATCGAAGTCCACTTTAGTATAAAACATGTACTTCTGTAAACTGTAAGAAAAATGCATAGTAAAAAATAAAGGAAAAAAATGAAGTTTCCTCTATACTTCCACCACACAGATGTAAGGAACATATTTGCATTCAAAATTTTTTTCCTGTTCCTAAGGTAAAATCTCCCCCTACAGTTTTTATCCAGTGACCCTGACTCCTCCTTCCTTGGTCACATAGCAGAGGTAACTCCCTTCAAACGCAGGGGACAGCCCTGCAAATGTCTGCAGACGGCTCTGCTGTCCCTGCCAAGTCTTCTCCTCAGTCAGCTCTTCTATCTGTGCCTCATTTGTCCTGGTTTCACAATCCCCCATGTCCTGGGTCATGGACACAGTCCTGTCCCGGGCTGCTCCGGTTGTCCATCCTTCTTGGCTTGAGCTGTCTGGACCAGACCTTGATCCCTGACCAGCGTGCACGGGCAACACAGGGACCGTCATTCCCCTTGCTCCACACACCATGTTTTATTCACGACTCCTGTAGTGACATTCGCTCTCCTGGCAGCTCTGACCCTCTGCTGGCTCAGATGGAGCCTGAAGTGCTCCCCGCAACACCTTGCTTCCCCATCCCACACCACGGATTCACGATTTGAATCTCAGTGTAGGATGTTACATGAGTCTTTGCTAAGCTTTTGGTTGTTTATTCCACTTTGTTTTTGTTTTCATTCCAGCCTTGAGAGATCATTTAGATCTCCCTTCTGCCAGTCACACGTCAGCTGTCTGACTCAACCTGAGTCAGAGGCACGTTGACCCAAAGTGCGCGTCACAGGTGGGATGGTGACCAGGCCACGCCAACGGCTGCAGCGCACAGAGTGTTCACCGGGGGCTGGCACTGACCCGTTAGTCCGAGCTCCTGGGGTGTGACCGGGTGACCAGCTCTGTGTGCTGCCATCTACGCTGCACTTCCCCATTAGGCCACTGTGGAAATGGAGATGACCTTTGGTCTGGGTTGAAAGTGGGCAGAATTTCAGTAGAGATGGGGAATGGGAGGGGGGTTCTAGGAGGCAGTGCTCCACATACAGAACACGAGAGAGCGAAATGGCAGCCGCTTTGAGAGAGAAGCTTCTGGAGTAGAGGGACAGGTAGAAAAGAACCCGAAGATCATGGCCAGATCCCCGAGGGACTTCATGTCAGGTCAGGGAGTGGCCTTTGCTGGGGTCAGTGAGGAGCCAGCCTCACTGGCATTTAAGGTTTTTGGAGCAGTGGCCTGACAGGTTCAGAAGAGCCTTATAGGAATTCCCATGGTTTCTGGGCAGGGAGGGGCAGGGCCACAGGAACAGACTAGAATGTAGTAGATAAAGGAGGTGAAAGGCCTGAATCAGGACAGAGTGGTCGGAGAGGAGAACAGGGAGAACAGAGAGAAGCCATTCTGGAGATAAACTCAAAGAGACTTGGCAACTGTGTGTTGGGGGCGAGTTGGAAGGCATAGGGTATAGGGTAGCAAGAGAGATGGAATGATTAAGGATAACTCCAGGGAAATGGAGTTGGAAGCTGGAAAATGTTAATACTTTGATCAAAATTGGAATAATCAGAAAGAGCAATTAGATTCCAAATCCAAATTGGATTTGGAAAAAGAGAAACTGAAGGAAGGATTGGAGTTTAGGCAGGTCAGGGGGATTGATGGGATTCTGATGAAGAGTGGCAGGTGGGTAGAAAAGCGAGGGTGGGGGTTTCACGGAGAAGTTGGAATTAGGTGAGAATTCAGGTGGTTATACAACAATGAGAACTGAAGTTACAAAATTGGTTGTGTTCAGTAAAGAAGGGCATGTAAAAGTTGGTGAGGGCTCTGGACCCACGTGCTGTAAGCTGTAGAGTATCATGCAAGTGGAAATTTCTATGATTAGCATCAGAATTACATGTATGAGATAGGAGGATAACAAGAAAGCACTGAAGGAGAAAGATAATGTAGGAGGAGACCTGAGATACTGCAGATCGTAATAACCATAATTAATCAAGATTTGTTTTGTTTTTGCAAGTGATAGGAAACCATTCAAATTGGTCTAATAAAAAAAAAAAGGAATATATTGACTCACATAACTGGTAAGTCCAGAGTAGTCCAGGCTCAGATGTGTTCGGTGGCCCAAAGATGTTGGGGTTATTTGTACTCTCTTCACTCTCTTCTGCTTTCTTATGTTGGCTCGGGAATCTTCTCTTTGTGGTGACATAAGAGCTGTCAGGAGCTCCAGTCTATTGCTCCAGCAGCAAGAACAATTTTCCTCTAAGCAGTTCTAACAAAGGGCCCCGCACTACTAGTCTGACTCTGGTGTAGCTAATGTCACCTGCCCATCTCCAAGCCAAGGTCAGTGGTCAAGAGCTTGCTATGCTTTCATGTTGAGAACCAAGTCAACGCTCATCTCTGGAGTTGCCAGGAGAGAGAGTAACACCTAACCCGCATGTGGACTGAGGATGGTAGAGGGCTGATTCCCTAGACGCAAATTGGGGTGCTGCCCCCAGAAGAAGGTGGAATGGACACAATAACGACAATGACTATTTGCTACAGGAACCAAGGGGAGAATTTCAAGGAGGGGGGCAGTCAACAGTGACAAATGATAGCAGAGGGTGAAGACAATGAGAACTGAATGGGCACAGACTTTAGACATGGTGGTTGAGTCATTTGTTTCTTTAAAAGATCACAAATACGGGAGGAAAACAGATTTTAGTGAGTGAAGGGGTGAGTGGGAGTAGAAACACTATAAAGGCCAGGGTTTGCTATTTTAAAGAAGTCTATCAGTGAAAGGAAGCAAGAGACTAGCTCCTCCCCCCCCATTTCTATCCCACAATCATGGAGCGAGACACTGTGCTAGGAACCAGGGGCGCTGAGATTAATAATTCCTACTCGATGTCCTTAAGAAACTTAGAAAGGAAGAGGTAATTACAAATGAATGAATGCTTCATTTTACGGAGCAAAATGGAGAAAGTCATGCCAGGCAAAAGCAAACACTCCCTGAGGGGCTCATAGCTGCACACTGCTGGAGTGACAAGCACCGAGGGCAGGGGAGCAGGTGGAGAAGGCCTGTGCGACAGGCGAGGGGCAGGGCTTTGTCCAGCAGGCACTGGGCAGGGGCAGGGATGGGTGTTAAGCCAGGGAAAGCCAGTGTCAGGTTAGCGTGTCAGAAGAATCTCTCTGGACTCAGTCTGGCCAGGAGCCGACTTGAGACGGGAGAGCCAGCTCAGAGGATGTGTTGGCTGACAGTCATGGAAAGGAGTGGCACGGTCCGGCACGGAGACAGGGGCAGGGAAGAGGGGACAGAGGGGGAGGATCACCAGGAGAGGGAGAGCCCATAGCCCCTGGGCCCAGGGAGGGAGGATCGGAGTCCCTGCGGAGGAGACACCAAGGCGCAGGTGGGAGCCGCTGGAGAACAGTCCCAGGGAGGCAGGGAAGGCGGGCTCCAGACACAGGTGGGGCGGCGACAGGCCGAGCACCCCGTGGGGAGGCAGGCTGGAGAATACAGACGACAACCCAGAGCGGTGCTGGCGAGGGCAGGAGAGCAGTGGGAGAGCTTTCGTTTTCTCCGTTAAGAAAGCAGTGAGATCACCTGTCGGGAGTGCATGGGCTCCAGATCTCCCCGTGGGGAAATGGGGACAGTCACAGAAGCCATCGATCCCTGAGTCACTCAACTCCGCCCCCGCGCGGGCTCCCCCCTCTGCCTTCTGCCCTTGCCTCGCCGCCGGGCCTTCATTAGCTACACCAGGGGCTGGGGGGCGGGGGGGAGGCTGCCCCAGCCTCCTGCACCCCGGGGGCTCCTGCCAACCTCGCCCACGCAGGCATCTGACTCGGGGGGCAAGGGTGAGCCGTGGCACGTGTGTTTTCGGAACGTGTCACATAGGAGGCTCTGAAACGGCTCATACCCACACACTCAGCAGAGAAGCACCGAGGGGCATGGGACCGAGTCCCGGAACTGGCGCTGCCGTGGGAGAAGACGGGGTGCAATCGTTTGCAGAAACCGGGTGGGTGTGAAGTGACTCAGGAAAGGAGGACAAGGAGGAGGTGGCTGTGCCAGCAGATACGGGGAAGAGCGGGGGCTCCTAGTCTCACATCCAGCGGATCCGCCTCTCTCCACCATCCCTAGGCCAGTCCTCACCCTGCCAGGCTGCCCTTTTTATAGCCTTTTTTTTTTTTTTCCACCAATATTTCCCTTGATGTTCACTTTAGCCTGCGGCCATCCACACGCGGGGGAACAGCACGTGCTTTGCCAGTGGCCGCGCTAGAGACTCAGAACTCTAAACGCTGAGCTGAGGCTAGCCAGGCTTTTCTGAAATGCCATGGCCATTCTCCTAAAGGCAAGGGAATGAAAACGGGGAGGGAAAGAACCGGTCGCCAGGAAAGGCGCTGGGAGGCTCCAGAAGTCGCGGCAGTTTGTGTGCAGCACTGCCCTCTGCTGGTCGCAGACAGACGGCAGCTGGATGGCAACAGCGTCCTGGGCTGGTGAGTATTAAGCAGGACAAGTGGACTGGGCTTCTGGGTCGTTCCATCTCCGGCACCATCACGAAATCCACACCTATGGCTCTTTAGGCACAAACTGAGCCTGCAGCTTTAGGCTTGGAGCTCTGCCAGTTAACTATGTTCAAATAAACACACAGATTGTCCAGGAAAAACATGAGGGCCCTGAAAAAGTTTCCCTGGAAAATATTTTGAGGTGCTCCAGTCACCTGGAGAGAAGCTGCGGAAATCTTTCCTGGAATTAATGAAGGTATTTTCGAAAGATGGCTGGTAAGTCTATGTTGTTAATAACAATGGCCAACATTTATTGAACATTTATAGTTACTGGCACCTCCTGTCATCAATTAACTTTCACAACAACCCAATGAGACAAGAACCATTATCGTTTGTACTTTACAAATAAGGAAACTGAAGTATAAAGAGTCTAAGTTCCTAGCCAAGATCAGACAACCTTGGCAGAGCAGGGGATTAAACCCAGAAGTATGGCATAGCCTCCTTGCTCAGGTCATATCAATTGCTTTATCACATAGACCCCAAAATGCATAATTGCTCCAACATTATAGAGGTTTATTTTGTGCTCATGTTGTGGTCCCAAGCAGGTGTTTTTTTGTGACTGGGTACCTCTCCTCCATGCCGTGTGATTCAAGGACTCAGACCTCTTCGGACTGTTGCTCCACCATTGTCTGGGTCTGTCATTGTCATACACATCTAGCCACCCACAGGAAGAGAGGAGAGCAAGGAGAAGGCATACAGTGCAATGGCAGGAACTAGTCCTTTGGCCATACTTAGTTGCAAAGGGGGCTGGGAAATGTAGTCTCTGGCTAGTCAGCCCCTTTCCAACAGCAGCTCCACACCGTGAAAGGGGAAGCAGGGATTCTAGTGGTCAGGAGACCATCTCTGCCCTCTCTCTAGTAAGTGTGATGGAATGGTTCACCAGCTCAGGTCATACCTTTGGTTACTACCACAGGTGAGTGCCACAGCAAGACCCTCTGGTCTTCTAGCAACAAATCATTGTAAGTTGCGTTTCCTGTTGATAAAGCACTTTTGTACCTATTATCCTATTCAATCCTCAACTTTTGTGAGATGGGTTAATTACCTTCATTTCACAGCCAAGGAAAACAAGGCTAGGCAGTCAGGTGGCTTGCCCAAATTCCCACAGCTGGGACTTGACCAATTTATTCTCATTGCCAGATCCTGGAAATAGTGGCTGTTGCTAAGCTTAGGTGGAGCTTGACCAAAAAGCTTTATGGTAGGGAGAGAGGAGTAGGCAGAGCTGTGAGCAGAAACAGGCGCTCACAGACCCATGGCCTGAATTGACACTGCTCATTAAACCTGGTGACTCTGTACAGTCTCTGCCAGGAATTCTAAAGTTGGAAAAAGTTGAGAGAGAAGGGTGGCAATACAGGGAGGAATGACAAATAGAGGCTGTTGGAGAGGCAGCAAGGTTCTTGGAATTTTCCTTATCTTCCACCTTGATCAAATGCCACAGAACATATAGAACCGTGGCTTTCATCTCACAATTTAATGGTTTACATTGCAGATTTCATTTACCTTGGCCAGTTCTATCATGTTTTTGATATAGATTTTTCCTTCTGGGAGGTTATGAGGGATCTTCACTCCCCCCCTCCTAGTCGCCCCTCTCCCCACTCTTATCAGAGTCTCTGATAACAATCTAGTAATGAGGGCCTATCGACCATCATTATTTTAATTGTCACCAAGCTTTCATTCTGGGCTAGTTTAAATGTTTAAAGTTTTTATATTTTTATTGTGAAATGTTCAAAGTATACAACAAAAGGAGGTACTCAACAGCTGCATTTAAAATGTTAGCATTTTCCAAATACCTTTGTGTTATTGATTTTTAGGGAAAATTAAGATGGCGGATGAGAAAAACCACCAGCCAGAGTGTCTCTGCAAGAAAGGCAGATTTTAGAAGAAAGTGAAATAAATAAACAGGCAGACTAACACAGATCGGATCAGGGTCTGAAAGAAGGATGCCTGAGACTACAGGAGACTCCACAGGAAGAAGTTGCAGAGGAGAAAGCTCCCAAGAGAAGCTTGGAGACCAGCGACAAGGGTAGGTGGACCGGTTAAATTCCCCCTCCCTTGCTTCTCAGACTGCTGTTGGGTTCCTGAGCATTTTGAGAGACCTACTAACACCAGCCCAGAGATGGCTGCCACCAGTGAGTGTGAGCCTCTTGCGGACAGGACACCGGGCTCCCAGCTCCCTCAGGGCACCTCCTGGCCATGCTGCAGATCCAAGGCGATTGGCAGGCACCATGTTGCTTCATTCTCCCCTTCCCCTTCCCTGCCCCGGGCCACCGAGTGAGACAATTTAGCCACCACCCCGAGGCATCTTTAGGGAAGGAGACCTTTCCTTTTGGGGCTCTACAGTGAACTAAGTGGTACTCTGACTGTGAGGTCCCTTCCTGCCAGCCCTCCCAGGTGCCGCTTGCCTGGTGACTGCAGGAGAGCAGGGCAAATCCCAAGGCAGAGAGATGTTGATTTCTAAATTAAGTCCATTATGATAGGAGAATATACTTCGTTTGCATTCAATTATTTTATATTTGCAAAGGTTTGTTTATAGCACAGAATATGGTCTATCTTGGTGAATGTTCCATGTGCATTTGGAAAGAATGAGCATTCTGCTGTTGTTCAGGGAAGTGTTCTGTATAATAAGACATTCAGGTCATGTTTGTGGATGGTGTTGTTCAGGTCATCTATAACTTGCTCTACTTTTCCTATTGATTACCAAGAGAAGAGTTGTGACATCTCCAACTATAATTGTGGATTTGTCTATTTCTCCTTTGTGTTTTTTCTGTTTTTGCTTCACATATTTTTAAATACTGTCCTTAGGTGTATACACACTTAAGATTATGCCTTCTTGGGCAAGTGAATTGTTTATTATTTGCACTGCCGCTTTTTATCTCTAAAATATTCCTTGCTCTGAAATCTACTTTGTTTAACAATAACATAGCCACTCCAGTAAGATATATTTTTCTACATCCTTTTACTTTTAACCTATCTTTGTCATTATGTTTAAAGATAATGTCCTTGTATTCCGTCTTCTACTCTAATTTTTGTGCCTTTGTTTTCTATTTCATAGCTTCTTTTGGATTATTTGAACATTTAATACTATTATTTGATTAACTTGTATTTGAATAACTAGTATTCCATTTCAATTTATCTATTAGCCTTCTGGCTATATCTTTATTTTTTTTTTTTTTCCAATTTTTGGTGCTCTAGAGGTTACAGTATACATACTCACTCAGAGATAATAGTTTACACTTCAAGTAAAATATAGAAGCCTTACAACTATATTGGTTCCTTTACCTTCCCCTCTATACTTATACATTGAAATTTCCACTCTACAATTTTATGGTTTTTGCTTTCAATAGTCATACATATTTTAACTGAAGAGGCGGGAAATACTTTTTATTAACACAGATACTTACTGTATCTATTGCTCTTCCTTCATTCCCTAAGTTTCAAGTTTTCCTCTGACAATGTCTCTCTTTAGCCTGAAGAACAGCTTTTGGCATTTCTTTTAGAGCAGGTTTGCTGGCCATCAATTCTTTTGCTTTTTTCTCCATGACAGAAGATCCCCATGGAGACCATGACTAGAGCCCACCTTTGAGTGAAAACACAAGAGAAAAAAGTGGGGAGGAATCCCTGAAATCTACCCCACCAATATACGTCACTTTTTCAAATTTTGACTCACTTTCTCAATTCACCTGCTTTTCATTACTTTTCAGAGTCCTCAGGTAGTTGTCTTTTATACTTTGTTTAGTATTTGTAGTTATAATCAATGTAATATTCTGTAGTGGGCTTACTATATCTTGGCCCTAGTCTGCCTGTTCCTGTCTTTGGTTTAACTTTCTCTTCTTTTTCTGGCTTCTGAAGATGGAAACTTAGATACTTGATTTGAGACTTTTTTCTTTTCTAATATAAGTATTAAAAGCTATAAATTTCCCTCCAAGTGCAGCTTTATTAATAGTTACATCCCACACATTTTGATATGTTGTATTTTCATTATCTTTCAGTTCAAAATATCTTCTAATTTTTCTAATGATTTCTTCTTCTTTGACCTAGGGCTTAGTTAAAAATGCATATTTAGTTTCTACATTTTAGAGGTTCTCCGGATAGCTTTTTTTATTATTATTATTTCAGCATATTATGGGGGTACAGATTTTAAGGTTTCAATAAATGCCCTCTCCCCCCCCCAACAAGTCTGAGTTTCCAGCATGACCATCCCCCAGATGGTGCACATTGGATATCTTTTTTTTTTTTACTTCTAATTTAATTCTGATTGGGTCACAGAACGTATTAAGTATAATTTCAGTTCTACTTAGGGGGACTTCTGAATCCAAAACAGTGGAGTAGACACAAGCAGAGCTCTGTCACTAGGCCAGAAATGATGCCAAATCAGAGTGGCTGTTCCACAGCACCATGCTGTAGGAGGTATGTTCCAATGGTCCCCTGAGCAGGAACCCCTAGCCAGCCTTCCACAATGCTGGGGTATCCCCTCTGGGACCTCCCACATTCTGGACAGGCAGCTCTCTGGTTTGCCACAGCTGAGGCAAATCTGGGCTTTAGGCACCATCTCGAGTGGAAAAGGAGACAGCGATCTAGTGGAAAAAAACATAAGAAACTCAACAGGTGCATTACAAAGAATTTCTAAGCAAACACAACCAATAAAAACTAAAACAAGCCAAACAGCAAAGACTGTAATAACTAATCTTTCTATGCAAAGGCATAGACAGACATCCACAAGAAACAACAGCAAACAGGGAACCAGTGACTGACCCTAATGAGATGGTGACACATAAGCTCTCTAACCAAGAATTCAAAATAGCAGTTTTAAGGAACCTCAGTGATCTCCAAGATAACACAGAAAAGCAATCCAGAAATGTATTGGGGAAATATAATAAAGAGATTGAAATAATAATAAAACAAATAGAAATCCAGGAATGGAAAACTATATTTCCTGAACTGAAAAATTCACTGGAGGCTCTCAATAGCAGAATGGATTAAGCAAAGGAAAGAATCAGTGACCTCGAAGACAGGCTGTATGAACTTACATAGAGGATAAAAAAGAATGAAAAGGAATGAGGGTTGCTACAAAATATAGAAAATTACCTCAAAAGTCCAAAACTAAGAATTATTGGTGTTGAAGGAGTTGAGTAGGAGCAAGGGGTAGGAAGCTTATTCAAAGAAATAATGACAGAAAACTTGCTAAAACTTGAGAAAGATATAAATATATAGGTACAGGACGGTCAGAGAACACCAAACAGATTCAACCCAAATAAAAGTACTCAAGGAAAACTCTCAAAGGTCAAGGACAAAGAAAGGATCCTAAAAGCAGCAAGAGAAAAGAAGCAAATAATATATAAAGGAGCCCCAATTTATAATAGACTTCTCAACAGAAACTATGCAGGAGGCCAGGAAGGAGTGGGGTGACATTTTCAAGGTATTAAAAGAGAAAAAACCCTGCCACCAAAGAATACTTTTTCCAGGAAATCTAACTGTCAAGCATGAAGGCGATAAAGTCTTTCCCAGACAATCAAAAGGTAAGAGAATTCACCACCACCAGATCTGTCTTATAAGAAATACTAAAGGGATTTCTTTAATTTGAAAGAACAAAACACTAGAATTCAAAAATAAAACTATAAAAACCCACTGTAAAATTAAGTACACAGACAAACCCAGCATACTCCAACAGTGTAATTTTGGTGTGCAATCAACTTATAATAATTTTAGTATACAGCCTAAAAGACAATCTATCAAATACAATAATAGCTATAGCAACCTATTAGGAGATAGGCAATATAAAGACATGTAAATTGAGACAACAGAAGTCAAATTGTAGGGGGGATGGAAGTAAGGTGTAGAGGTTATTTTAGTTTTTTCTTTATTTTTATTCTTTTTGGTGATCATTTCTATTAAACATATTGAGATTTGTTTTACAGCCAAGGCAGTTATCTAACCTAGTGAATATTTATGTCTACTTGAAAAAAAGGTGTTATGCTGCTGGTTGGGGGAGTGATGTTCTATAAATGTTGAGTAGGTCAAATGTGGTTCAAATCTTCTATATCACAACTGATTTTCTATTTGCTTGTTCTATCAATGACTAAGGAAGAGGTATTAAGATTTTGCATTTCTTGTTTCAGTTTTATTAGTTTTTGCTGTATATATTTTTTGAAGTTCTGTTTTTGGTTGTATACACATGTAGTGTTATGTCATCTTGATGAAATGACCACTGTATTATTATGAAATGTCTCTTTTATCTTTGACAATAATCATTGTCTTGAAATCTATTTTTTTTCAATTTTTTAATTTTAATTTTATTTTATTTTAGCATATTATGGGGATACAAGTGTTAAACTTACGTATATTGCCCATGTCCCCCCTC